GTCTTGGTTGACATTTGATTACATAGTTTTCGTTAGCAGTGGAAATTTCCTTTACCTGAAATTCTATGTCGCTGAACAATTATTAATAATATTTAGCTATTAAAAATTCCACAGTGTTCTCAATATTTTAAGAAATATTCCTGCTGTACAAAAACCTCACAACATCGCTTTAATATACAGCACATTGAAAGTTTAACTAGTTTTACTAGAAACTTAACCCTCCCTTAGAATCCTCGACTTTTTCAATGATGTACCCCTATCTCAAAGCACCGAGTCACGTCTTTCAGCGCAGGTCACAAATTGAAGAAGGACATTCTGTCACTTTAATACATGCGTAACAAGCACGTTATTGTCGTGCTATTTCCACAGTAAACTCATCTACCGTACAACCAAAGCAGTAGTTCCATTAACTTTCATTTCTATAAGTTAATACTACTAATATTTCAGGTTATTTTTTGAAGACGTTGGAAGAAGTCCAAAAGATTGCACACCCGCCTTAATAAGGTAATTGACGGATTTTTTCTGTTCCCGGACAAACGGGAACTTTATCCTGATGCGAATGAACACATCAGTGCGTAATAGAGTAATTTGCCCTAAAGTATTCATCCGCCAACAAAATGTAAACAAATTTAACTTTGTAGGCAAATATGACCCTTCTCCAAGGATTTATGACTCTGGGGCGGGGAAGAACGTTGAATTTCCGCTAGCAAGGGGCCATTTGTTACAAAACATTTTTTTCAAAGCTTGCCCACACTTTTATAACCCTCCTAAGCGAGAAAGATAAAGAATAAACCATTTTTCCGGATGATTATCCTTGTATGAAAGACCGTTTTGTAATTTTATGTCCCATTAAGAGACTTTCGTCAGGACAAGGGGCTATTTAAAAGGCGGGGATACCTACACCCTGTCTACAGTCTGCGCTATGGCTTTGGGCTTAATAACTTGAGTTAATATAGTTTCGAATGACTTTGCAGGAATAGCCTGTTGAAAAAAATATCAAATTACATCGTAATTAATCTTACAGTCAATGTGTCAGTTATCATGTTTGTGATAGATGCGTTTTAAACGGATAAAATATTTCTCAGGTTAAAATAACATTTTAGGATATTAAAATGTGTGGACTTTATAAGTATGCTTTTAAGGATGTATTAAGGGCTTTTTACGCGTAACTTTGAAAGTCATATTTTTAAAATGAAATATATCAGTTACACACAGTGATCCAATATTGCTTACATGTGCCCCTGTGTGGTACAACATGCAAGTACTTCCTGATGGAGGCGACTAGAACGGGGATTGCTTGGCCAGACTCAGTGTACCTCGGTGGCGTTGCCATTTGGTAATGCCTTGAGTCACTGACCTATTCTCTGTTATTTAAACATCCGTGATATGGCTGAAATGTAGCAGCTTAACATGGATTCCCTATTCCGGTTGCTGCGGTAAGCAACATTCACTCACTCAGTCACTTGACTGGAGAAAACAGCCATCATTCCCGCTGCAACACTCCAGACTGATCACGTAATGGTACCACGTGTTACTTCACTAAGGAACGTACGATTCAGTAGTAATTAGATTTTCATAAACATGAACAGTTAATTGAAACATTTATCTTTTTATACTAATATCCAGAATATTGCGCCTGTCGAATATATATATATACATCTACCTTTATCTAGGTTATAGTGTTTGAAACTTACATTCATATGCTGCCTGAGGACTAGGTGCATATTTACCGAGTTGTATATATATATATATATATAGTCCTCGGGCTGCATGTAAGTTTCAAACACTATAACCTAGCTAAAGGTAGATGCACACTTATTCACACCTAGGTTTAATTGGTTACCATGCGACATTTTCAAATACATTTAATTGGAGTCTGGCCTGCCGTAGATGCAATACACAACATATGCAGTGAAAGTGACATGATATTTACATATTTTTTTCACACATGATATCTTGTTAATTCAGCTGTCGCGTGTGCATCACAGGTTAACCAGTTGATTGACAGTCTGTGATAAATTCACGTTATCAATAATGTTTTCTAACATAAAACATCCAATGAGCTTCTCATGTGTCATTTTAGCCATATATCGTGCTGAATGTTTAAGTTTATCCCATTTAAATTATTTGGTTATCGTATTTGACAGATCGTAATGACAGTAGAAAAAGATTAATATATTCTTCAATATCAGGATCAATACAGTTTTGTCGGACATCAAACGGATATGATATTCAATTCTGGTTTCAACACTTTTTTAATACCATGACAGATGAATTGTATCAAGTTATCATAAATATCTATATAAATATAAATTGCTTTTTCAGGCGTGCTAATCACATGGTGACGATGACTGCTATTGTGTAATCATAATAATACCTATTTATTATGATGTTTTTTATTAAAAATATATTCCTTTGTATGTTGATGTAACAATTGTTTATATTGATCCACACAATAAAACATATTCGAATGGTTCCAGAAACAAGGATAAAACAATAACCCTTTATTAAAAACAGGAAGCGTATACTTAACATTGATAATAGTTAGGCATTTCAATCAGATTATTAATTGCTTTTGTGTCAAAAAGGTTCGAACAAATGGGGTTAATATCGCATAATGGTCTTTTAAAGATTTGCTATTTTATTTTTTTGCATGATTTTATGTATTTGGGAAAATGAAACACATTGTTTACGCTTTAAACCTGTAAATATATCTGTATTGTACGTCTTATATACAGAGTATTGAATCCACAATGAAAGACTGGTAGTGACATTGAGAACGTGCACTGTACAGTGTGATGTATGCACCCTTAGACATATGTTCTGGCATTCCAAAAAGATTGATTGATTTCAAAGAGGAAATTTTATTGGAAATGTACCTAAACGGTAAGACAACCCTTCATTCCAGGAAACAATGTTATCACTTGTATGCCAGTATTAGTTTCAAATCCTGTTTAAAGCGTTGAATCTAAAGGGTGGATATACTTTGGGAATATTTGCATTTCAGAGATGAAAAGTATGTCTGTAACACATTCACATTCACATTCTTGTTACGAGTTTACATTTTCTGTCATCAACGTTAACTTGATTTATCGAAGGTATTTGAAGTCGAACGTCGACAAGAAGACGCCTAGTTTAAGTATCGGTTCATATTCTATCATGCAAATAGTCCGCATTAACGAGGGTACGTTATAGATAGTCTGAGTTATAATCAACTGTTGGTGAGAAAATCGCTAACACGTGAAAGGCTGATTTATATTTTTAGTGAATATTTAGACTTGGCAGACTCCGTTTACCTGGACCGCATCTCTTAAGCATTCAGTTATTTCAATTTATGTTTTTTTTGGGTCAGATTCGACATTTCATCGTTTGAAGTAAGTGCCCATAAATTATATACGTTATGCTTTATTTCATAATGATACATATTCATTTATCGAGGTGTAAGTGTTTTTTTCGATAACATAAAATAACCCCCATCTCATGTTTCTTGTCTATATCAACTTTCCAAGCGCAAATTTCATGCTATTTTATCTAATTTTAACTTCTTTTTAAAACGAAAACCGGATCAGATGGTCTCGGACCGGGGTATCGCCAAATGTCACATTAAAGAGATCGGGCGATATAAACCGGACAAAAAATGGTCGTCACCGGACTTGACTTCTATACGGCATCGTTTTACTACCGACAACGGTGGGTATGTTTACAATTTAAATTGCAAATAATTTGGGAATGTTTAGAGGTATCGAAATTGCCTGCTATTGCTGACGAGTGTTAAGCTATACACTGTGATGTTATCATACGCGTTTATGTAGAAGAGAGTGGGCTCGCTCATCCGGGTATTGTGTTTGTCCACGCATGCGTAGTATTGTGCCCGAGGGTAAGGCTGGGGCTTGTCGTACCATCAAGATAAGAACGGTAATTTCACCTCTCGTCAGATTGGGCGTGTAGGCAGATACCCTTATCCTGACAAATAAAAAAGACTGTCGTTGACTTTTTAATAGGAAGATTGAAGGAAGCGATATAAAGCGATTTCTAAAATTATTTATGATTTGACACTGTTAACAATAAATGATGTATAGGAATTTACTTACTTAGATATATAGGAGAGATATATGGTGATAGATTAAAGCAAATTATTTTGATCAAAAGAAATGAATTTTAAATTAGTATATCTTATGTGTTGGATCACTTTGAAGTTTTGCTCGGATATTAATGTACACGGGGCGATAAGTATGCTTTGAAAAATATCAATCGTTATTGTCTTCGAGTAATTGTCGTACTGATATACCTGGTGAAGCACAGCATTTGTTTTCAAAATTAATGATAAAAAATACCCCAAATTACATGTCATCATGAATCTGGATAAAGGAAGCATATATTGATTTATACGGGTATTCAAAGTTCATATAAATAAAATATAACTGCGTGAATTTTTAATTTATTTAAAGTAATAAATAAAATACATCCTTCTTTCAGTCCAATCTGCAAAGAGAAATTTCTTAAAGTTGTTTTTTCGTCCCGGCCGTAACACAAAGACGTTAAGTCAGATTTAATTTTAAGCTTATTTCACCTCATTCTCAATAAACCACGCTCCCTGGAATTGTGTGTTGCAATATCGTTACTTTGTTGGAAAACTAAGCTAAATTAATATCGCACCAAATCTTGTGTAATTGATGCAGTGATTCCATATTTGCCAAGTTCTTCCCCAACATGTGCATTGCTCTACACACTGCGCCGCGGCCGTGCTCTAAATACTAATGCATTTTCCGCTCGACCGAGTAGGGTCTGTCAGCGCTAGCTAATATAGGAGATGCGACACAAATTGTTTACATCGCTAGGTTTTGGTGTACAAAGATCTCTTCGCTCAGAAGATAGACGCCCCGCGCTGAGCCGTCAATCATTTGTAACCATCACACCGAGCGACCAATCACCTTGCACCGTCTCGTGATGTCATTTCCTCCATTCGCTGATTGGAGAACGGGGCGGGGCTTTCTGTACAGAATGCGAGGTTCCGTTTCAAGAAAAGACGAAACACGAAGTTAGAAGATTAATTTGACCTGATGTATTGAAATTGAGATTCGCTCACGAGAATCTGAGGTTAGAATGGCGTTGAAAACAAGCAGCAACTCGGCCTTTACGCCCATAGCAGCAAATGCTGTCGATAGTCAGAGCGAAGCAGACGATACCGCTAGCGCGCAGACGACACAGGTTGACGACGAGACGACCAGCAACATGCACGCTTCAGATGTGGAGGTTCGTGTGACTTCGGACCCTCTAAGGACATCGAGTCTCCCCTGTGATTCCAAAACAACAACAGACAGCAAGGAGTCGAGAAAGGACGAACAAAAATGTGTTCCGGTCAAACCATCCCGATGTTCATTCTCTGTTGACGATATTCTCGCTAAACCCGAGCGGCGACCGACAAGCCCAGAGCAAAGCAATTCCACCCTAGGTACCCGATCTCCCCCTTCCAGTCCTCCAGACTCACCCTCAGCCACGGGGGTAGAGGGCAGGTGGCCACCCGTTAGTCCTGTTACATCATCGTTCCCATCTTGGTACTATGCTTCAAGATTTCAACATGCCAACGGTACGTACACTAAAGTTTTCAATGATAAATTACATTCAGACTTTTTTATTTATCTCGTTTGTACTTTTTACACTTTCTTTAAAAAAATAGAAAAATCGACCGATACGTTAACAGTGTACTGTTTTTCTAAATAACCTATATGAGCATCTCAGTTGAATTATATTTCAACAGCATAACGATTGCTAGACAAAGTTCAAGTCATACGGTTTGCGAACACAAACATCGATGAAGAAAAAATGTATGTTAATAACGGCAATTCCAGTTGTCTGCTACATTGATGCTGACATGTTAAGCCACCGTTGTAGTTACCACTATCACACCTCCGGGACACACTATTGTGACAACATGTTTAATTATTAACTATTGCTTTCCAAAGTGGTTTAGCTTTTCACAGACACGGTTAGATAATTAAGAGAATTTGAGTACACGAACTGACGCTAGCTATAAAATAACAGCAAGCTTTAGATGAACCAAGTCATCGGTATAAAAAAAGATCATTGATGAATTTGTAAATTGCCATTCACATGAATTGTGAATGGACTGGTATAATTTTGTGAACTAATTGCGCTGTGATGTTAGTTAAGTATTGGGAGGATGATTCTATGTATTTTAAGCAAATAGTACCGATATTTATATATCCAGTTCATATATGCAATTTACAACATAACGCAAACTGACAACCTTTCTTAGTATTATTTGACTACTATGAATGTTGTTTGCAAAGACTTCATTGTTGTTTTAGTTTATCCCTTCAATGGAACAACGACATTCTTACAATTCAAATATTCTTTATATGTTTTTAAATACCCAGTTTTCCCTTCGAGTTTTAACTGCGGGTCATAGCGCGCAGCCACCCCATAAACAGTAACAATTCTGCTAAATATTTAAACGAATGAATGGGAATATATATAACGTAGTATGTATGTTTGAATGTGTAGGATTTTCAAGTATTTTTGATAGAAAAAAATGACTAACTTTTATAACAATATGGTGGTATGCGAAATCGTAAATATGAAACTTTTAATTCGTTAGTTTATTGAATATTTAGCTGTACAAATGAGTGGTATGTGAATGCAGATACAAATTTCAACATAAGCCTAACCAAAACGTGGAATTTGAAATGTGTTCTTGGTCGCATACATAATCAAGTTGTGCTGAATGGAAATCGTACACAACACGCCCTGTATTCTATGAAAACAGTAATTGCTAACATGAAAATTCTGAACCCCGTAATTAACATGAACAAAAATGAAAGGAAATTCAGTTTATCTGTTTCATCGGCGTTACAATGAGAACATGTAGTCAGTTATGAATTCAATCAAATTGCTGTCTCATTTACATTGAATGTATTTCGACACATAGTTATATAAAAACAACACGCTATGTGTTTCGAGACTTTTATGACAATCATCAAAACATGGTAAATATTGTTTACGGTGACTATGAACAAAATCTCTGCTTGTGTATACACCTATGATTTATTTTTTATCAAAATGGTACATACATGTAAATAATAAAATGAATGACTCTAAACGCGGTTTTCTTTCAGACTTTACATGAAACAAGAATCAATTTCCACCATAACATCATGACATGTGCATACTATTGACATGTACTATTACATTCATGTATTCATTCCACATTCGCTTTTATCAATAGTAGTCAATTTCGGTAGGATATGTGGTCATGAACCTTTATGTGCCTCCTCGTATTACCTACAGCACAGTCATCATGTATATGCCATGCACATATCAGCTCAAGCATGTACATATCACAGTCTCGCACCTATTTCTCGCGTAGCCTCAGGCGAGTCGGCGAACTATCTGTACAACATTATGTTGTCAATTCTACCGATATAACCAGCATGTAGATAGCTCATCGATTGTATCAAGCAATATGTTAATGGGCTAATCATGAGAGAGTGGTCATCACTGCCCGGTGGCTAAGTGGCCCTAGGTTTACACTAATAGTGTCAATTGCTACTATAAGTGGGTTTATTGCATCTCCTGAACGAAGAACGGTGTCTATACAACATATGATAATTGAACGCGTGGTGGTTGTAAAAATCGTTCGTTCGGTCCGGATATTTCACTCATTTAAAGGGCGTTTATTTCATGTCTGATTGCACAGTGTCACCAATTGGCGCTTGTGACGCTTGATAAATCTGAAGTTAGATTCAATTACATGTACATCGATGGTTTACATGAATTAGATATTTCAACGGTGTGTTTATTTCATCGTCCCGAGTTACCGGGGCTGACATTGATAGGCAAAATACACAGAAAGTAAATTATACTTATATCATTATATATATTGATCACAGTCTTTTTGTGTCTAATGTTTAATTTCACGCACGGATAAGACAGAATACAAGACAACATTAAACTTAGATACCAAATTTAAATTAATAAACCTATTTCTTTATTACAAAGTTCCATGAATGAAGCTACCGAACGCACGTACGTGTTTAATGGGTGCTGTAAACCCTGTAAGGCTACTCGCCAGCAGTTGTGTTTAGTTTGGGAAACAGTAAAAATGTTTCAAATGAAGAAAATTCCACAACTATTTCCAAACAGGTGACAAAGGAACTTGTAAAATGATAAAGATTAAGGGATAGTTTGGTAATATATACTATATATGCATTTATTATCTGATATTTAGCTTTAAAATTTCTTGGAACTATTCTGTTCGAGATTTATGAAAGGATTAATATATTGTGTCTCATTCAACAAAACGACCGTAGGGTGACATGAGGATGTTGTTTGGGGTTTTATTTCTTGAAGTTTGGTTTTAAATTTGTTAATTGAAAACGATTTAATTTATGTCGCCCAATAACGTTAATGAGTGGTGAGATACATAGCCTGAAATTATACATAGCACATACGTGATAATATTGTTTTAAGTATAAGAAATATCAATTTGTAATTGTAATAGCACTATTTGAAAAGACATCATATTTAATATAATGTCACCTTTCCATAGATGTTATCCTGTGGTCGAGTAAGAAATCGATAAATTTTATTTAATGAAACTAATAATTAAAACTCTGACCTTATTTTCTTTGATAAACCTACCGAGCTGAATGTGAAGTAGTGTCGGAAGTTATATTTCTTGCCTGGTCGACTGAGAATTTGTTAAAAAATAGGTGATAATGCCATAAACACATTGAGGATAATACTAAGTCATTGTTGTAACCCAGATCAGCGGGCGGAACGAAGGAGATGCACCTCAGTTTAACAGTGTAATATATACTATGCTTGGTTGTTGCTTTGAGATTTCTTGTCTGCAGACATACGTCCACGAAGACCAATTAACTCCTCATTATAATAGGCCAAGGGATACATAATTTATGAAACACTACACGGCAGCTTCATGCTTCATGGAATTCTGTGTATTAAACGATAGGACAATGTTGTAATACGTAGCTCCTTGGGTTCAACTTCGATCATATCGATTCTACTTGTAACGTTACAAATTGAACCGGGTTGTTTCTATGAAGATGGTTGTAGACTTGGTGAGAAGCTGTTTGTAATTCTTTATAGTGATTACTGGGTTAGACTAAGGGGAAAGACTAATGTAATTTTTTTTAAATATCTTAATCTTTCTATGATATGTTGCTGCTGATCTGACACATAAAATCAATGATGATACATTATTGACGTTTAGAGTCTTGCTCTATTGCTACCATTTTTCGTTATTTCTTAAGCAACACCTAGCAAAACGTAGGTAGAACATCAATACTATGTACATACAACAGTCAGTTCCATATCAATTATTGTTTTGCTTAAAATTATAAATACCCATATGATCGTATCTACATTATTGATGATTGATTTTATATTTCTAGTTCATCACAGGTATATGCACTGTAGTCAATCTTTGTGATATAATTGTTATGGATATTAGATTGCAATCTCACCACGTGTATATTTATCATATATATCATTGCTGTATATATCTGTCGCGTCCTATCATTAGGCAACGTGTTAACATTCATTACACGTGCATGCACTAGCCTTCATTGCTACTGAAACCTATCATCTTCTAAGCGCTGATGGTGGACCACCTGTAGCAGGATGATCACACTGATGTCGATATTCGTCTCCGTGTCACATGAGTCTTTTGATTTCACAAACGTTGAAATCTGCATGAAAACAACGACTGCAAATGAACTGTGTTGCACCGTCCGAATCATTTCGATTGTTAGTCACATTTCATTTCTGATGTCACGCGCGATCAACTTGTCACTTTCACTGCACCTGAACAAAGACTCTCTGGTACCATTGTCAAAACGTTTGAAATGTACACTAATGTATTTCACAGAATATATGACAGCTCTCTGTAAATAGCAGCAGCTGGGAGGTATTCATCAGGTGATAACTTCAAATACGCATGAGTTAATCGTATACTATCCATGCGTTGAAAGCAATTTCAATAATCAGTTTAAAGAGTGAAGCATTTAACAAACCACATGGATTTCAAAAGACAAGGCCGTTAAAGTGTTAATGATTACTTGACAAAGCATTCTGGTGTGGCACAAAGGTTAACAGTATGAAAGTTTAAATGCCCATAGCACGAAAACATGCTCGCGGGACATTCAGAGTAAAGAGAATACATTAAAAAAATAAAGCCCCAAAACAGTCTTCTATCTAAGCAGTCTTCTATCTATCACAGTTCCTTAGCATCGGATAATACCTCGTGATTGAAGATTTAGTCACTCATTTAACGAGGAACGTGTTGTAAAGAGGTCGTTGAACACTAATACCACAAATTGAAACCTTTCACCCATACTAACATAAATGCGACTACAGTCAGTCACAATATATTACATTATAAACGGGGGCAAAATGTTAGCGTGTTTATACAAGCAATATGCAAGGCGTCTAGGTGTCTATATCGAAATTAATATATATGCCAAACAACCCTTTTATGTAGAACGTATCGATAAAACATGATATTAAATAGGTGGAAATAATCAAACGTGAAAGAGAAGGCATTATATTTATATTAAGGTCATAAAAGATGTTCATAAAGAATTTTCAGAGACGTAAACAAGTGGCATTTTAATATTGAGATCTAATATTTCACACGTTGAGGAAAACGCAATGTGAGATATAAAACCTGCACGAGACCTGATTAAAGCCTCTAATTGGAAGTTTTATTTCTAGTCTATCACATTTTCAACATGTACTGCTGGGCTATTTTATACACCAGTAAACCTACACAATAGCGGTGTTATAATATGCACTTTGCATAATCCGTAAGTAGACATGCTGAAATCCAACAGTTGACCTTCAAGATTTTGAATGAAATGGTCCTTTGATCATCTCACCTATATAGTTCATATATTTTTATGTTTGTGCTAGGAGATGTTGTGTTGGTTGTTATATAGTCTTATTTATGAATGACAATAAACTTTCACGGTGTGGAAGTTATGTCAACAAAGTCGTTAGAAGTCGGGAAAAGCTGAATTTATTAATACGGAAACAGTAAACAATGGTTTGTCGATAGCATATCCTTCAATACGTTTTCAACCGAAATTGCGACAAGAATCGATTTTAATATTTTCATCTCATCGTACGTATCCATTCATATGTGAATCATTGCTTCGACATTGATTTGACGTATTTCTCATTGTTTCAGGTATGGGGGAACGACAGCCAATAAGTCCTAAAACATGCCTCAGGAAGCACAAACCAAACAGAAAACCAAGAACACCGTTTACGACCACGCAACTGATGTCACTTGAACGGAAGTTCCGGGAAAAGCAGTATCTGTCCATAGCAGAAAGGGCTGAGTTTTCAGCGTCCCTCAATCTAACAGAAACGCAAGTGAAAATCTGGTTCCAAAATCGTCGTGCAAAAGCAAAGCGACTTCAAGAAGCCGAATTAGAAAAGCTTCGAATGGCATCAAGACCAATGCTTCCGCCATTGTTTGGTGTGTCGCTTCCGTCGGCAGCTGCGGCTGCGCTTTACAATAGTCACGTGTCACGCGCACCTCTATTTTCCTCTTCCATGATGTCGCCGTTAGCTGTATACACGAGTCTACAGTCAGGGGTGCCTCACTTACACTGACAATAGTCAACAGTAACGGCAGTTTCTGTTGTGCAATATTGAACTTGGTGATGCATAAACTGTGATATCGTGACTCGAAGCTGTATTCTCAAACCTAAGGGCAAAATATTATTATGATTAAAATGAACTCCCCTAAAGACCTCCGTCGCAGGCCTGCTTGCCATCTAAAAATGATGGCAATAGAAAGATGATTCTTCGTCAAGTCATGACTTCAAAGACTGCAAATGAATGAAAACTTTAGTTTGAGCCAATACATTTCCGTCTTGATAATGGCTGAAAAATAAGGTTCAGTTAGCTACCTATAAACACTGACAGCTCGATTTGTGGTCATCATGCATGATTACGTCATCAAAGAAGCACGTTTCTCCCGAGGGGCCACTGTCCATTCGCCGCAGACGACAAGCTAATGATCTGAAGTCACACTGAGCAGACGATGATCTAACGTCATGGCCGTCATTGTTCAAAATCCAAGATGGCGGAATTGTTAGACGACCCGTGAAAATACAATGCCCTTGCAGGTATAAATCACTTCTTTTTCAATTCGATGCATACCAAACGCTCCATGCGCTCGCAACCAAACATACCAACCTTTGTTGCACGATTAAATGCCATATTCGTTGTAAATCTTGTGAACTATTCTAAAAGTTCGCATCGCTCTTTGTAAACATATCTACGCCAAAGAAAGTAGTGCACCGAACTACCCGGTTAGGATCTATTACCCTGCGGGGGGTGCCTGTAATGAAGCGACGACCATATCTTAACTAATGAACAAGCTGTTGTCAATTTCACCGACTGATTTGACGGGCAATATCACTTCAAAGCGCTGGATAAATGATGAAAATTGTCTTTTAAGCGGTCGCAGGTCTTCAAAGCATTCGCTAAGTATAGAATAATAAGTAAACGATATGTTGAAAGAGTTTTCAAGTGATAAGAGTGATTCTCTGGCTATAAGTTTCAGCTATTCACCTACAATTTCTGAAGCAGCCTCTTTTCTGAAATAATCTTTTCACGCAGTCATATTAACGCGCTTTTTCTTGAATCTTAAATGGGGCATTACCTGCTTGGCATTGGTGCTTGTATGTAGAAACGAGATCACAGTTTGTTTGTCTAATATAAACTGGTATTGCTTTGATATCAGACAATTTATTAGGGGTTTTATCAAAGTACTGACCACACGTTTTATGGCATATTAATTTGTTCACAAACGCTGTGAATAGATTAGGCATAGTCACACACACCGTAGAAATACATGTATGCTTGACAAATGTTGATCTTAAGCCAACACTGACGTCAGAATATCACTTGTACAAGTCGTGCACTCTTTTCGGCAATGTTTTGTTGATACATATATCCTTTTAATACAATCGAAATATCAAAAGGTAAATAACAATCAACACTCATAATCTGTTTTAGCGTGTGCTCTTATAATGAAAATAACACATTTCTTTTATCAAATCTAAGTTTTTTTCTGACATTCCTTGTCAATAAAACAAATTGCATTAAAAATGGAAATCGGCGAAATAAAGCCATCATCAGGAATATTAAAAAAGACGCAAGAGGTCACTGAACCGAATGTTTCTGTGAAATACAGCTTAGCACTGCAATACTGACTACTGTAATTATCTCTGTTGAGAAATATTTATCTGGTATATATCAACACGCTCGATCGGAAATTGTAAATAATACATTTCCATGCATATGTATGAATCAATCATAAAGTCTATTGTTCCTCCGTGATATGTGCAGCTTGATGTTAGGCTTCATGACAGGTGGTGTTAATTGCCGTTGTCTATTGGACTGGCTATAAGGATGAAATGACAGGAGATGTGTGCGTCGGATGATCTATCACAACCTGCGTATTGTCATGCAAATTAAATCTACATCTCCCTGAACCTGAGTGTGTTGTGAAACTGACAATATTGTTATGTACATCTTTTAACTGGTGTTGATTGACAAGACCTCTGAATCCCGTCCTATTACTTCCATCGCTCTTGTATTAATTGGTTATCTGATAGGTCGAGTTTTGACATGCATATAATTAAATTCTAATCAGATGAAATCGATAGCGTTGTCATTACATAGCCTGTCTAAGATTAGCCAGTGAAACGGTGAAATAAATAACACTTACAGGTGCTATTGGCATGGTGAAATTGACAATATTTGATAAACATAGTTAATTGCATTTAATATCCTACATTGAAATTTGAATTATATCGTAATTTGTAATGATAGGTCGTGAACTAATTTATGGAATGTATTCAATCTAAATTATTTATGGGGCTTATCTACTTTATGTTTACGATCTATTATTATATATATATATATATATATATATCCATTTGATATACCATTATCACAAGTAGATAGATCAAATAAATTTAACTTAGTTGACATGCAATGCTGCAAAGAATATCAATATGTAACCCGTGCATATATGTGAAGGAAAGTTGGAGGCAAACAGTATATATTTCTTTATCGTACATATAATGGCCAAAATAGTTTAATATGTCATATTTTCATTTTCCATAATCACCTCACAAATAGGAACAGTAGGGCTATTTAATTGTTTTAGTCATAGTTAGTGAATCTGTTGACATCGAAGACGAAATAATATTTCAGAGAAATCAAGTTTGCGAAAAATGAAACCCTTACATGCAATTAAAATGGTTTTAATTCCCTTTTCTCCAGTCCTCCATCCTGGTAATTCTTTCCGTACCATGAATTAAAGCGTCATGTTTCATTTACATTCCTTTTGAGTGATTTAGTTTCATTTTTGGTTTGTTATTATTGTTGCAGATTCCCCGAAGACAGTCGATGAGATGCACAGCGACACTTCTTTATCAAGTTGATGCAGATTCTGGGTCTCTGCAGCCAACAACATGACTGTTGTATAATATATCCTAAATAAAAATTATTTATTTTTCTTACACGCCTATCTCTTGTCTTGTTTAAAAAATACAACATAAAAGCTAAAATTATGATGAAGAAATTTTCTTTAGACTGTTCATATCATTTTATGCTTTGACTGTTACATGGATTCTAAACCATGGCTTATCTGGGTTGGTTACTAAGCACATATTTAATACACAAGATAATGTGCAATTATCATAAAGGAAACTCACACGATATGTATTCTATTAATGAAGCACACACGTTAATGCATTCTATCAATGTACAAAGCTCAAGATGATGTAGTCTGTAAATGAAACATACTGTATTCTAGGAAAGAAAAAAATACACAAGATAATGAGGATTGTGTAATTTCATAAAGGAAACCCATAAGATAGTATTATATCAATGAAGCACACACGATGGTGTATTCTATCAACGAAGCACACAGAATAATGTATACTATCAAGGAAATACACACGATAATGTATTCCCTAAATGAAGTGTATTATGTGATTACTAAACTACAATGAGATAGAGACAGCAGACCACAATCTTGGGCTGCAGGGAAGTTAATCTGATCTGGACACATCTGGAACACTGGTTATACACCGATGCTAAAATAAGAGTACATAATCAACTATCATCATGTTAAGCTTTGACATTAAATATAGAAATAACAATCCCTTAAAGCTCATAATTATTGTTTACAAAACCATTATATTCACAGGTGAGATAATAGGCATATTCCGCTGTACCAGATATTCCAGACAGAACGTTTTGCGCAACAAAATATTCATCTCTGAAAGCAATTTCCTTTCTTTACTGGTCACCGTATCATGACCAATTTCATTGAATGTAAATTAATAACCTAATGCTTGTGCATAATAATTGCATGGAATGTATTTTTCCATATCTGCAACGTAAATGTTTGTTTCTTTGTTTATTGCCTAACGCCGCATTCGGCAACTGTTGACGCCGTCGGGGTACGACTCCATGTCAACAACCATGTCCCCGAGCCCGACCACCCGATCCATTAAAGTGACAGTGAGTAGGGAGGTGTGAAAACTCCATGTTAAGGTCAAAGTATGGGATAGCTTCGCGCATCATGTTGAAGCGACGCGTCATATTTACTAAATGTCTCTGAATGTCTACCCTAAAAAATCTGGAATGTCTTAACCTGGTCTTTGAAGGAGTAACTTTGATTAAAGAGCTTATAGTTGTAAGTGTTTCCTATCCCATGAAATTTGAACAAAATGTACATGCGCTAAAGCGCTTCAGCAACAGACAGATGTAGACACCATAGGCTGGAGCAGATGGGGTAGTGCTTGTAATGTAGCTGAAATTTGTGATTGGAAAATATATGAAACAAGAAAATATAATACAAATATCTTGGAATACTTAATACTTTAGATCATGTATTTGCAAAATGAACATATTCTAGATAAAAAGATTCTTACATAAAACACACAAGAGAACACATTCAATAAATGATACATCAAGCAATATATTCTAAATGTTGGGCTCTAGATAATGTATTATTTATGTGACTCTCTAGACAATGTATTCTGCACATGAGCCTCTAGATAAATGTATGACTTTGTGTCCATGTGAGCCACTTGGAAAATGTAGATTATTTGTGAGACACCTGATAATATATTCTGTATGTTAGATACTATAAACTAGTAATTTAATCAGTTAATTTATTCCATAATTGAAAAAATATATAATGTGTTTCCGCAAGTAAAACACTAGATAATGTATGTTGCAATAAATAGGAAAGGTAATATTTTATATAAGAGATACAAAACAGACAATATTTTCTATGAACGAAAAATGACACATTTAGAGTATTCTATAAACGAAACAAATCAGAAATTTTAAGTTACAAAAATCACGCTAGATAATGTATTCTCGAGGTGAAACTCGCTAGAAAACGTATAAAAGAGTACATTTGTGCAATTAGGTAACATATTCTATAAATGAATATTTTTTCAGGTAGTGCCACACTCTGCATAATACATTCTATGCCAGTATGCCTTTTTCATCCCACCAACACACTGTCACGCCTCTATCTCGTACAAAATAAACAACACAGACAATTTAATTTAATTATATCATATCATTCATTCCACCTTGCGTCAGCTTGAGATTTACACAATGGTCGGTAGTTTAATAATCACAGAAAAAATATCCCCCCAAACGCTCAATTGTAAATCATCAGGCAGGCGAGTCTCTCTATCTAATACACATAGATGCGGCTGAGAAATCAAACCTTTCTCTTTAAATGTTTTTAACTGCATTTTATTGTACTTGCCATGAAACTGTTTCTGATAAGGTAATATTTTGCAAATGATAAGTCTATAGTACATTGTGTAGGCTTCTATGTATTTCTTTAGAAAAATCAAATATTTATACATAAATATTTTCTATTTTTTATTGGCGGAGGATATTTAATCTCATCACCAGTTTAATATTGCAACTGTCCAATATCGCTTAACGGTCGGTCTAATTACTCGATTTCAGTTCATATACATTCAATTTATTAAACCAGACAGCGAAAAATTATGAATATACGACAAATAAAACTACTGCATTTTCAATAACCTCCGTTAAATTATGTTTTTGTTAGCCGAATACACATTTCATAGTTTTGTACCAAGAAATATATATCGTCCGATTCAGTCAGGCTAATATTTGAGCTATTGTGTCTCCATATAGAAGTATTATAATTATTATCATTGGGCGTTTCTCTACGTCTGAATAAGCAATATTGTGTATACTATTTCAATATTTCTTTTAATTAAGATAGGGTATTTTCAGAAATAGGCACTTCATATATACACTTCAGAGTGCTTTTTGAGCATAGGAACGCCACGTCAGAGAACTGACTATTTATAAATTGTACTTTGATTAGTGCTTCCATGGGACCTGACATCATGGTTTACAAAATGTGATCAGGTGAATCAGCATGAACATTATTCGCCTCCGATTTTGATACTTCTTGTTTTTGTATATACTTACAGGTTCATAGATATGAAATTAATAGGAAACCGGCATGTCCTTTTTAATATTCATACATACTTATAACAGTACATTTACAGGGATTGTTGATTATGATTGTCAGATACAGTTACACTCCCTTTGTGTTAGGCTAACATCTAGTCTCAGAAATGAACATATTTTACAGAAAAAAACCAGTTGTTGAATTATAGTTATAAATCATATACAAAGAAGCCAAGAGGCTTTCTTCATTTTGAGATGCTGCAGTAATCTAGACTAGCCAAATATTATAGATTTGCTTAGGCTGTATTGGATCTGTATGACAGACTACTTTTGTATTTGAACCATGTATAAAGTCCAGCGTTATAAAGGATCGGAATATGATGGGTCCTCATGATAAGCACTGCCCTAACACACAATACCCATCAAATTACAAAACATGATGTTCATAAAGTCAGTACATTACGATAAAGAATGTTCATATAGCCAGTAGATCACAATGCATAATGTACAATATTAGATGTTCCTATAGTCAGTAGATTACAATATTGGATGTTACTATAGGCAGTAGATTACAATATTGGACGTCCTGCGGACAGTAGATTACAATGGATAATGTTCCTATAGTCAGTAGATTACAATGTTGGATGTTCCTATTGTCCGTAGATTACACTATTGGATGTTCCTATAGTCAGTAGATTACAATATTGGATGTTCCTGTGGACAGTAGTTTACATTGGATAATGTTCAGATAGCCAGTAGATTACAATAGTGGATGTTCAGATAGCCAGTAGATTACAATAGTGGATGTTCATATAGCCAGTAGATTACAATAGTGGATGTTCATATAGCCAGTAGATTACAATAGTGGATGTTTATATAGCCAGTAGATTACAATATTGGATGTTCGTAAAGGCAGTAGAGTACATCATGGGGAAGTCTCTTGAAGAACACCTCGAAACTCTAAGGGGTTATCTCCTGGAGAACAACTCGAAAAGCAACGAGGATATCTCTTGTTGAACAACACGAATCACTGCGAGGACATATTGTTAGGAACAACTCGAAAAGCTATTTCTTGAAGAAAACTAACTACACGATGAGGAGAACAAGCCATAACTCTATGGGGACATCTGTTGGAGGACAACTCGAAATACTACGATGACATCTTTTCGAGGCCAACTCGAAATACTACGAGGACATCTGTTCGAGGCCAACTCGAAATACTACGAGGACATCTGGCAACTCGAATCACTATGAGGATTTCTCTTGACGAAGTGATAGTAACATTACAACGACATCTCTTGAATAACAATTCCTAACACTATGAAGATATCTCTTGGCGAACAGTTCGTAACAATTTCCCCGCGAAAAGGTTTGCAACACAACGAGAACATTTCTTGGCAAACAACCAGTAACACTATGGTGACAACGGGACGGTCTTAAGATCATGTAGGCGGTCCGGTGTACAGACAGGAAATGTCAACATGCAGGAGAGTGTGTTGACGCCCCAGTGAATAGACAGAAAATGACTACATACAAAAGAGTGTACAGACGGGAATTGCTCAGATGCAGGAGAGTATACAGACGGGGAATGCCTACATGCAGGAGATTGTACAGACGGCATATGCTTAGATGCAGGACGGTGTACAGACTGGAAATGTCAACATGCAGGAGAGTGTGTTGACGCCCCAGTGAATAGACAGAAAATGACTACATACAAAAGAGTGTACAGACGGGAATTGCTCAGATGCAGGAGAGTATACAGACGGGGAATGCCTACATGCAGGAGATTGTGCAGACCGGAAATGTCTACATGCAGGACAGTATACAGACGTGAAAGCCTACATGCAGGACAAAGAACAGACGGGGAATGCCTACATGCAGGAGATTGTACAGACGACATATGCTTAGATGCAGGACGGTGTACAGAATGGAAATGTCAACATGCAGGAGAGTGTGTTGACGCCCCAGTGAATAGACAGAAAATGACTACATACAAAAGAGTGTACAGACGGGAATTGCTCAGATGCAGGAGAG